AATTAAATTTGTTGCTGTTACTTTAGATAACGAGCAGAAAAATGAAATAATTTCCATCTTTTCATGTTATCCTCCCTCCGTTTGTGATGATAATCCTTATAATGAGATTTCATTGAGCTTGAATCGTTTCCAATACTCTTTCTAAAAGTCTCATACCGTTAGAGGAAGTAGCATATCACTGACAGAAAAATAAAGTTCATTTAGAGTCGCTCAAAAGTGATTTTCGTTTTCAGCATACTCGATGAGCCCGAAGGTTTTCGATTCTTGACTGTGGGTACTGACAAAAGTTTAAGAAAACTTCTGATACTAATATTATTTTCCCATGGTAATTTCTTTTCGCCATTTTGTTTGAAAATGTTTCTGAAACTTTTGGCAGTACTCCTCGCCAAGAATAGAAAATCTTCTGGGTTATATAGTGTGCTGAATACAATAAAGCGCTTTTTCGCATAGATATAGATTATGTATTTAAGTTGATCACATTTGACTCCTTGAGGCCTGCTACTACTTGATATTGATCTGGATGATTGTCAGTTAATCTCGAAACATTTTCCTTTAGTCGTCTACATTTCCTTTAGTCGTCTACATTACAGCAGACACAATAAGAAAATATAAAAGTGGCGATGAACTTTATTATGCTTGAATATGCAAAAGGTAGGTTTTTTAGACCAAATATTAGATGTTAATGATAGAAAAAACAATGGGCAATGCATTCACAGATATACATCTCATTTTTGCCACAACATTTAATAAAATACTTTCGTCGAACAAGTTCGAAAACTGATAGTCCTAACGTTTATAATGACTCACAAATCTATGCATCTTCTTGGCAACAGGAGTGACTACGGTAATGCAAACAGTTTAGGCGACTGCGATGTTCAAATAGTAAGATGTTCGAAAGAAAAATGTTCTTACGTCTTCTCTTCCAAATAAGTTTATCTATATTAATCACAGGAACTTGTACGAAAAATACTATCAGAAAAAAATAGTCTGTTTTTCATAAGATGACGTGTAAAAGATTTTGTATACGAAAGAAGCGTACAGATGGTACGAGACTCATTTTTCTGTTTATTAAAAGAAAAGACGAGAAAGAGTTCTCTTTCTTTCTTCGTCTTTCCCATATTAACATTCTGAGAGGATAAAGAAGCAGAATAGAAACAAAAAAAAAACAACAGTGCATGTAACACAGTGCATTTTATGCTTCTTGTTATATATATGTTCTTCTACGACCTACATGAATAACTTTTTTTTTCTTTCCAGCTTCTGTATGTTGTATTAAGGTGAGACATTAAATTATTAAAAGCTGCAGAGAGCATGATCACTTCGTTTTAAAGGAAAAAAGTAGCTGTCTGTCTATCAGACAATGAATAGAATAAATGAGTGTAGTAGTCTAGAAAAAAGGCGAAAAATTACAATTCTATTAAAAACTCCCATTAGAATAAAAGTTAGAACTTCAGTATATGTTAGAATGATAAAATACTGGATTTTCTAAATTTTTTATAGTAATGAATAACTCGTTATCGTCAACGACAACACACGATTTGTTACTCTGTCCAATTACATGTGATTATTTTCGTGAACCAGTTGTGGCTGACGATGGACAAACGTATGAACGTGAATCAATCATTCAATGGATCAAACAAAATGGAACAAGTCCAATTACTCGACAACAAATACGTATTGATACACTTCGTCCAAATCATTTAGTTAAAAAATTGATTGAACAACAATTACACCAGCCAGAGGTAGAATAAAGAGTCTAAAACTGCTACGAAGAACATTTTAGATTAATACTAATCCATGAAAAGAAAGTAAAAAACAATGATCGAAACATACGAATTGTTTTTCATTTTATTTATATATTTTCGACTTTCTGACTGATTTATTACTAACGAGGGAACCTCGCGAACTGTCATATCGCTTTTCTACCCAAACTTAGTGGCTTATAGGTTATCAACTATGCTGAATCCGAATATCATAGTGGTAACTGTCCAGAGGCCTTCAGAGAGCGATTTTCTGGAAAATCAGTTTTTCAGAAACTCTAAAAAGTAACTAAAACCTCTCTTAATAAGGCATGATTATAGCTCACAAATTTCTGATTAAAATGAGCCATCTCTCAGCTCTACAAGACCTTTCTTTGCAAAGTTATAGAATTTACTAGAAAAGTCCTGAATTTATTTCTCCTTATTTCTGTAGCTTTGAGCTGACAATGAACATTCAGGACTTTTCTTGTAAATTCCATAACTTTGCAAAAAAAAGGTCCTGTAGAGACGGGAGATGTCTCGTTTTAATCAAAAATTTGTCAGCTACAATCATGCCTCATCAACGAAGGTTTTGGTTAGTTTTTAGAGTTTCTGAAAAACTAGCTTTAAAGAAAACCGTTCTCTGAAGACTCCTGAGAAGCTACCACTGTGATATTCAGGTTCAGCATAGTTGATAACCAATAATCTACTAGCTTTGGCTGAAAACCCGATGTCACAGTTCATGAGGTACCTTCATAAGTACTAGGTAGCCTATCCGCCTAGAAGAAAATAGTCGAATTTGATTTTTTAATATATCATCACTATAAAAATACTTTTAAAAAAAATAATTTTTATATTCTCAAAGCGCTCGGAGTTCTCTATAACCCCGTATATTTATGTCTTGTCTTACATTTATTTGCTGAAAAATAAATTAAGTGCAATGACAGCTCCCTCATCGTCAGATTCCCACGGACTGCATTTTGTTACGAATTTCTTTAATTTGTTTTTTAAATTTATCATCAGTATAGAAATTACTTTTTAAAAAAGTAATTATATATTCTGGTAATGCTTGAAATTCTCTATCATCCTATATATTTGTGTCGTGTCTTGCATTTATCTGCTGAAAAATAATTTGAGTATAGTGAAGATGCCAAAAAGCTGCATTTTTTCGCTTTTTCCACACCATCTGTACTAAAAGATCTTTTTACAGACGACGAGAACGAGCACATTCAGAAGTACAAAAAGAACTGACTTTTTTTTTAAAACTGACTCACTTTTTGAACCCTTTTCGTACGGAAATAATAGCAAAAGAAAAAGGTTCAAGTGAAAAAAAATAACAGATTTTCAAAGTTTTCATTTGCTTGTCTTTCGTATAATCTGCGTCGTTTTCTTGATTGAAGCTCTAAAATTAAAGTTTAGATATGGTTTTGTAGAGCATTTCACAGCCCACCTTTTTAAAAAAAATATTAACCTTTGGATCTTAAAGAAATACGAGGAAAATAGAAAATACTGAGAGGCCACACCCGTTACAAGTTCTGGGAATCTGATGATGAGGGGGCCGTCATTGTAGTCAGTTTATTTTCGGCAAATAAATGTAAGACAAGACATAAATATACAGGGTGATAGAGAACTCCGAGCGCTTTCAGAATATATAATTATTTTTTTTAAATGTATTTTTATAGTGATGAAATATTAGAAAAATCGAATCTAACTATTTTTTTCCAGGCGGATAGAATGGTAAATTTTTTTTTTCTTATCATTTTGTTTCGTGACGACGGTGAAAGCACTCACCAAGAACTCGAAATAAATTGTTCAAATCTCATTAATCTTAAACTCTTTATTCTGTCATTTATTTAAAATTGCTTTTTTCTCTTAATTTTCAGCAAGAGGTAGTTGACACTACAAACGATGAATGTTGGTTTGAAGGACAAATGTTGAACTCAAAGCGTCATGGTCATGGACATTGTACATGGACAAATAATGAAATATATGAAGGTGAATGGAGATCGAATCAACGTCACGGTGAAGGACAATTCATTTGGCCATCGGGTCAACGTTACAAAGGTGAATGGAAGTTTGATCATATGAACGGCAATGGTCTCATGATTTATACGAACGGTGATCGATATGAGGGAGAATTTAAACTAAGTAAAAAACATGGACAAGGAACATATCAATATTTAGATGGTACAAAATATATTGGACAATATGAAGAAGATTTAAAATGTGGACAAGGCTATAGGACATATACGGATGGAGCTGAATATAAAGGTGAATTTCGACACGATATGATGAACGGATATGGAACATATACACATGCTGACGGTACAAAAGATTCAGGAAAATATCAAAATGATCAATTAATTAGAAGGAATTGGTGTAATATATCCTAGAAATATTAATTTCTTTTTGAGATACATAGGAAAACAGTAGATAAGAAATTATGCAGCTCCTTCTTTTCCGATCACTGGTGAGATGCAAAATTTATCGATAAATTTTCTTAACATATTTTAATTTTGTTGAAGTGGAAAGACAACAATATATTTAACATATGTGCGGCATTTTAAAAATAATCCGTTTTCTAGTGGGTCGTGGAATAAACGCACCCGGTCTACTTTCCAGACGTAATTTATAGTCTACGTATTGTTGCCACGCATCCTTCCTCTGTGGAGTACTTGAAATAGATCAGATAACTTGTTTCTGTCACCGTTATCTTACGTATTTCCGCCGTAAGTTTGTTTTTTGCAAGTTTTACTCACAAAACTCTGTAATTACTTTGCTTTACTACTTCTATTTCGGAAATATTGTCACATTACCTTGTCTATAAGTCATCTGTATCACTCTTGCATCATGTAATGAATGCTAATCTTGCGTTCATCCGTGCTATTGCCATTGTCCAGCGGCACTGACGACTGATTTTATTTGTCTGTTTATGCAAAAATTTTGTGTAGATTGTTTGTTTCAGCTTTTAAGCACGATGTATAATATCTAATATTTACGTGTTCGAAGAATTTTTTCTATAATTGATTTGATTGTAATTCATTGTCACTACCATCCTTTTGATTTCGATTAACAGAGGTGGTGTTGCTTTGACTTAATGCTTTGCGATCTGATGTTGCGTTACTAGTGTTACTGTTCTTAAACTTTCACAGATATTCTGCGTGTTATTATTCGAAATATTATTGTTTTAAACAGAAGAGCTGCGACAAATAGCGATTTTCTTTTCTTATTCACGTTATATATAGTGTGTGCTCACGTTGCAATGTACGGTACACATATATAGCATACATTAAGACTGTTGTCTGTGNTGTCTGTGTAGAGTGATGTCACGTTTCTTTCTTTTCCTTAGTGTGTACGAATCAGAGCTCCTAATCGGGTGAATTTCTGATGGCCAGTCTGGACCGCCCGGCTTGAGCCCGACTGTAATTGTTTCTAGACTCAATTCAATTTTGTTACGTAAAAGTCTGTAAAAGCTTTGTAGTAAAAGCTTTGCTAAAGATTAGTTCAGCAGCATATACATATTGTACAGCACATATTCAAGAATCTATTGTACAATAAACTCAGTAAAGGATAGAAGTCCTTTAGATGCTGTATTTGTTTCTTCTTCTATCATTAGTCATCTGAATTGACCAGTGATCAAACTCTTTTTTTCTCAACAGAATTCACT